CTATTTCCAAAAAATAACAAAATAAAAAATAAAGTCCTAATCCTGTCACTAGCTAATCCAATCTAATTTCAAGAAATGTGTCAAGCCCTTGATCTGGTTCTGAGAGGTACTAACTGTGATGAATGCATCTCAAGAAAGATGTATAAGCCAGGAATATAGCTCAGCAGCACAGCGCCTGCCTGGCAAGTGCAAGGTCCTGAGTTCAATTCCCGGTACCAAAAAAAAAAAAAAGGTGTATGATAAGGTGCTGAGGAGGGAGCACCTGAGTGGCCTAGAAAGTAAGAAAATGATGCCAGCATGGTGGTGCACGCCTGTAATCCCAGCACTCAGGAGGCTGAGGCAAGAGGACTGCCACAAGTTTGAGGCCAGCATGGGCTACATAGTGAGACCCTGTTTCAAAAAATAAAAGGGAGTGGGAAGTAGGCTGAAGATGTAGCTCAGTGCCCACCAGGTTCAATCCCCAGTAATGTAGAAAGGAAGGAGGGAAGCCAGACAGCCAGCGGAGGGACAAGAAGGACTCAGCTACGTGAATACACATACTTTGCTGTGACAAGAACTTGAAATGTATTCTCCCATCCCCTCCAGAGGGGAGGTCTTACCAGACTCGGTGTGACAACCTGGAGTGAACTCCAAGAGAAAGTGACCCCACGCCTAAGCAGATCCCACTACTGGACCCCAAAGTACACACTGTGTTAGTCGGCTTTCTGTTGTTTTAACAAATATCAGAGATGATGGTTAACTTATCAGACAGAAGTCTTACCTCGGCTCACAGTTTTGCAGGTCTGCGTCCACAACGGCTTGGTCCCTTGCTTTTGGGCCTGCCACAAGGCAGCACAATATGGCAGGGGTGTGTGGCTGTGGCAAAGCTCCTAACCTCTTGGCAATTATGGGTAAAAAGAGGAAGAGATGGGTGGGTGAGATGGTGGCTGCCACGGCTGCCGTCATCCTCTGGCAGACCACGCCCCCAGGGACGTGCTAGGCCCCACCTCTGAAAGGCCCCACCGCTGCTGATGGCACTGCTGCCGGAACTGTGCTGGAACACATAAAACGTGGAGAATGCAGTCTGTGGCGGGATAAACTGTCAGTCACTCCTCCAAGGACTGAGAGCTCTGGCTGCTACAAGACCACATCCCCTTAGCCTTGGGGCTAAGCCCCAAAGCCTGACCACTAACACGGGCACGGCCTCTGTCCCTAAGGGATCTACAATCGCGAGGGAAGGACAAGGACCTCACTTGTGTTGGGTTCTACCTCTCCTGAGAAGCTGCTCCTATAACGGCCCCCCTGCAGATGGCCTGCTACAAGCCGGGAAAGGAGTGCACACCTGGAAAGGAGTTCAAGGCCAGCCTGGGCTACAGAGTGAGTTCCAGACAAGCCGGAACTACGTAGTGAGACTCAAAAAGGAAACAAAAAAAATTGCTTTCTATAGAGGACTACGTGCATCCTAAGAAATTAGACTGTAAACAGTTTGGAACTGGGCCACGGATGTAGCTCAATGGGAGAGCACCGTGGCATGCAGGAGGTCCTGGGGTGACGCCCGCATACACACAGACACACACGCGCGCGCGCACACACACCGATGTACTACTCTTCACTCACTACCTTGTTTATCTTATTTCCTATGAGATTTGTTTTAAGAAAAAAAATGGCAGAAAAACTCTGAGTTTCATACTTTTATCATCTCTTTAAGTATACAAATTCAACTGTTAGGAAATTATGGAAACAATTTCGAATTTGTACAATGATATAGCTAAGCAATCTTCCTTTATTTACTCTTTTTTGTTTTTCTTCTGAGACAGTATCTTGCTATGTAACTCAGGCTGGCCTTGAGCTCACTATGTAGCCCAGGGTGCCCTGCGAACTCGAGGCAATCGTCCAGCCTTAGCCTCCCGAGGGCTGGGATTAGACGCGTACGCCACCGCAACCAACCCGCAGTACTTTGTAAATTCGGAGTAGAGTGCGCACCCAATTGAAAACCTGCAGGCTTTCTGGCCCGGATGATAAGGACTTCAAGCCCCAGCAGGCATTGCGGCGGGCAGTTCGGGAACTACGGAGGCCGAGTGGGGGGAAGTGAAGCTCCCCTGTCCTTTCCCTCCCAGAAGCCCGCGGGCGGCTCGGAGCGCGGTTCGTATCATGGCCGCGGGAGCCGGGACTGCGGGCTCCGCTTCCGGCGCGGGCGTCGTGCGTGACCCGGCGGCGTCACAGCCGAGGAAGCGGCCGAGCAGGGAGGGCGGGGAGGGTGCGCGACGGTCGGACGCGATGGCGGGAGGAGGCGGGAGCGGCGATGGCAGCGGGAGGGCTGGAGGCCGGCGGGCGTCCCGTAGTAGCGGGCGGGCTCGGCGGGGACGCCACGAGTCGGGGCTGGGGGGCGCGGCGGAGCGAGGCGCGGGGGAGGCCAGGCTGGAGGAGGCGGTCAACCGCTGGGTGCTCAAGTTCTACTTCCACGAGGCGCTGCGGGCCTTTCGGAGTAGCCGGTACGCGGACTTCAGGCAGATCCGGGACATCATGCAGGGTGAGGGCCGGGCCGGGCCGGGCCGGGGGCGGAGGAGGGTCTGCGGGGCCCGGGTGTCGCGGTGGCCGAGCCGACCATGTCTTCTTTCCCAGCTTTGCTTGTCAGGCCCTTGGGGAAGGAGCATACGGTGTCCCGGTTGCTGCGGGTTATGCAGTGTCTGTCGCGCATTGAAGAAGGGGAAAATTTAGGTATGGTTATTTCGTGTTCTTTTCTGGGCTTACTTATGTAGGATTTTGTTGTTTTCAAACTTATCGGGAACTGAAGGGTTCCAGGTTCAGGTGCGCTGCTGTTTGCATCTCAGTGGGCCTTTTCACTGACAGCGGATATATTCTCTGTCTCTAGTTTTCTACAGTCAAGGTTCTCTTAGTCGCTTTCCTGTGGTTTTTGTTTTCGCCCACCTGTTAATTGTTCACCGAACTTTGTTGTCAGAAGTGAGCTATGCTGGTGTGGACGTGTTTAATCCCACTCTGGAGTGGTTTTCAGAGCAAGAACCCTTTTGGTTTGTTTGTTTTTTTTCACCACGCTGAATTGAACTTGACAGCTGTTTAGCGAACTGTCTTCCGTTTTTTATCCACTTGTATCTTAAAAGGATGTATTATCTTGAGTTTAGTTGGGAAGCCGATATGTCTGTTAACAGATAGTTTAGCTATCTGGAAAAGAATGAAAGATAATCTCTTTAAATTCATTAATTTGGAAAGAAAAAGTTAAATTCATTAATTTAAATTTGACCCCTTGAGCCGGGCGTGGTGACGCACGCCTGTAATTCCAGCACTCGGGAGGCTGAGGCAGGAGGATCCCTGTGACTTCGAGACCAGCCTGGGCTACAAAGTGAGCTCAAGGCCAGCCCGAACTGCATAGCGAGACCCTGTCTCAAAAAGACAGTCAATCAATCAATCAATGCATACATACATGCATACATAAATAAGATCCCTTGCCATGTATGTAAGCTTGTATCAAGTACATCAGCAAAACAAGTGCAAATCTTAATGTATTTGCTTGTTCCTTTCCCATGAGTATGTATATATCTTTGGACATCATTTTTTCTGCTCCGTGGAAAAGAGCTTAAAGTGAAGTGAAAACTGTGCTTTGTTCTAGACTGTTCCTTTGATATGGAGGCTGAGCTCACGCCATTGGAATCAGCTATGAATGTGCTGGAGATGATTAAAACGGAATTTACACTGACAGAAGCAGTGGTCGAATCCAGTAGAAAACTGGTCAAGGAAGCTGTAAGGCTTTATTTTTACATTTTTTTTCTTTTTAATAGAAATCTGAGGTGTTTGAAGACACAGTGCTTAATGTTTTCTGTGTGGTGTGGAGAACAAGCAGGGATGGGGAAAAAATAAGCAAGCACATGCCTGCAGATGGTACCGCAGGTGCCCCTTTTCCCACGCCGGCTCGCCGTGTGCTCTGCTTTTGTGATCTTAGTGGTCTTCTTGCGGCTCTGGCCACGGTACACAGGAAGTAGGTTGGCATACAAGACCGACATTTGGGAGGTAATCGAACCATTCGGAACGCTATGAAAGGGCCACTAGTATCAGGTCTAGGGTTTGGTAACCCTGTGTAGAATAAACCGAAGGGAATGGCTGGGGCCACGGGAAGTACAGGACTGACTTAGAGCTCTTCCATGCAGTTGTCTGTAGAGCTTGGAGGACATGCCCTTTGAACAGACTAGAATGAGAGGTGCTGAGATAATGAGCAAGCTAGCAAAACAAGAATGTTAGAAGAACGGCACAGGTGGTATGAACACTAAGAGGAAAGCTAATAGCCAGGTATAGTGACACAAACCTGTAATCCCTGGAGCTCTGGGAGGCTCAGAAACAGAGGATCGTAAATTCCAGCCCAGCCTGGGCAACTCAGACCCTCTCAGGAAGGGCTGAGGACATAGCTCAGTGTGAAGGCTGGGGTTCAGTTCCCAGTAGACCACAAAAAAAGAGAGAAAGGAGAAAGCTAATGAAATATCTAGGCATTTGGGACTGTCACTGTGTCATTGCCCAGGTTGCATCAAGTAGTAGAACTTACTTAAAAGCGTTAGGAATGACTGTGGGAACCAGTCAGAAAAAAATATTTTTCTTCGCTGCGTAACCGAGGCTGGAACTGTGGAAGCAGAGGTAGAGGTGGGGTTGAAGAACAACAGATCAGCGTTGCCTTTGTGAGGGAAAGTAGGGAAGTTGGAGGAAAGGAGCACCCCTTAAAAGGATGTAACCCCAGAGGTGGAGATAGGATGGAGGAGGAAAAGCACGCTTAGCAAGGAAAACACTGGCTGCGTACAGGGTACTCAGGTATCCTGTTAAAGAAAACTAATGTGCATGGAGTGCAGATATTTTATTTATTCAGTTAAGGACCTTGAGCAGGCACTGCTTTTGGTCATGTGAAGTATGTTTAGGTAATTATTATTCATTTCCAAAGAGAAATAATTCCAAGAATTGCTTTTTGTATAGGTGAGTCAGGTTTGTAATAGGGGTAAGATGCCAGAAAAAAGTCATTGGCTAGGGAAGAGAAATCCGTGCCTACTTTCAAAAGAGCGAAACTTGTTTTAAATGGGAAGAAATGAGCTGAGTATGGTGGCACACAGCTGTGATCCCAGCCCTTGGTAGACTGAGGCAGGGAGCTTGCCATGAGCTTGAGGCCAGTCTCGGGTGCACAGTTCAAGGTCAGCCTGAACTGTGTAGTGCGACCCTGTCTCAAAAAACCTAAATAAAGAAATGGTACCAGTTCGGATCTCTTGTTTTGGGGCTTCATTAGGGTGATCTATCAGCTAAATCTAAACCCCCTTTGTCAGCTGTCCCTTACGTTGACTGCCTCATGCTTTTCAGTTCTCTGCTAAGGTCCAGACCTCTTGTTACATTTACATATTACTGTTACTGCAGCGTAACAAATTACTACAAGACTTAGCAGCTTGAAGCCTGTCTCTGTTTTCAAATGTCAGGAATCTGGTTTAGGTGAGTGGTTCTGGCTCACGGTGTCTTGTGAGGTTGTAGTCAAGCTGTCAGCTAAAGCCACAGTCATTTCAGGACTGAGGTGAGGCTAAAGAATGCACTTCTGTGCTCACTTGTGAGGTTCATAGCAGGATTCAGGCAGACCAGACCAGCTCCGAGAGAGTGTGTTGGGGACTGTCAGAAGCGGGAATTACTGGGGACTCTTTCAGAGGCTGACCACAAGTACCTTGATCTCTTTTTTATTAAATGATACTATGTTATTTGTCCTTTCAGTTTACTTTTTAAAGGTTTCTTATTTAGACTCCTAGGATCTGTTAATGGTTATCTTTGAGTAAATACCACAGGGTGCCTAGGCTCAGTGACACCTTTTTTTTTTTTTTTTTTGGAGTCTGAAACGGTCTCACTATGCAGTTCAGACTGGCCTTCAACTCACTTTGTGGCCCAGGCTGGCCTCGAACTCACAGCAATCCTCCTGCCTCAGCCTGGGATTATAGGCTTGCACCACCACGCTCAGCCAGTGACACTTTTTTTTTTTTTTGGTTTTTTTTTTCCGGTACTGGGAATTGAACTCACGACCTCGCACTTGCCAGGCAGGCGCTGTGCCACTGAGCTGAATCCCCAGCCCCCTAGTGACACTTTTTGATGCATTTAAGCTTTGTGAAATGTCACAGTAATTTACTTAAAAGTATATTATGGTTTTTTTTTTTTAAGTTTATCAAGTGAGTTAGAACTTCTCTGTGCCTAGTCTGGGGGTCTCTGGAGTTCTCATCACCCATTTCAGAGGGCAGATGAGGTCAAAATGGTCTGTAACAATATGAAAACATCATTTGACTTCTTCAGTACTTCACATTTGCACTGACACCGCACGAGCAATGGTAAGTAAGATTGCTAAGACCTTGGCAGGATGAGGGGGTGAACTGTACTAGTGGTCACTGTATTCCTCAATGCCAAATGCTTTTTTTTTGGTTTTTGAAACAGGGTCTTGCTATGTAAGGTCTGGCTGACCTTGCCCTCACTGTGTAGCCCAAGCGGCCTCAAATTCATGGTGATCTCCTGTCTCACCCTCCCAAGTGTTGGGATTGCAGGCATGTATGCACTACCATGCCCCACTGCAAATGCGTTTTTGAAAAAACCTGCCTGTTTCAGTCTGGGTGTGGTGGTACAGATCTGTAATCCTAGGACTCTCTGGAGGCTAAGGGAGGAGGATTGAAAGTTTCAAGTCTGTGTGGGTAATTTAGCAAGACTTTCCAAAGAAGCGAGCTGTGGATGTAACTCAGTATGAAGGCTCTGGGTTTCCAGTACCACCAAAAAAACAAACACCAGTTTTAATTAAGGATGTCTTTCCTCAAGTAATAAAAATTTCAGCTGTCTCTCTGTTTGGTACTAGGGAATGAATCCAGAGTCTTCACACTGAGCCAATCCCAGTCCTTTTTAAAATTATTTTGAGACTGGGTCTCCCTAAATTACTAAGTTGCCCAGGCTGTGCTTGATGTTGCGATCCTCCTGCCTCATCCTCCTGCCTCATCCTCCGAGTGCTGCCATTACAGATGTGCGCCACTGCACCCAACCTCATCATTTTATTAAATCTAGGCCCATGAGTAAATATCTTTTGAGTACTGTTTTATATGAGGAAGTAGAGAATCAGACTGTAGCATTTCTGCTGCATAGCAAAACATGATGGTATTCAGGAAAAGCACTTAAGTGATGGAGCGGAATGTTAGTTCTATGGACACCGTTTTCACCTGAAAGAACTGACCAAACTAGGGTTATTCAGATGGGGTATTTGGCAGTCATTTTCTTGAAAATGAACAAAGTGAACCTGTACTTAAAATAGTTGACAGTGTTTGTTGCCAGTAGCAAAATTCAAGCTTTCAAATGAAAAGTTAGAATGGGAAAACTTGTATTTATGTGCTTGGTATCTTCCCAACACTTAGATTTTTCTGAAGGTTATTTATATTAACTGATTTTTAAAATATTTTTAATTAATGAATCAACATTTGGAAGTTGTACATAACTGAGTGAATCACTGTTTTCTAACTAATTGGTGCATGGTGTTATAAAATCATTTATGGGTGAGAGATCCATTTAAAAGATAACCCAAGCTGGGTGTGGTGGTGCATGGCTGTGATCCCAGCACTCAGGAAGCTGAAGCAGGAGGATTGCCTTGAGTTCAAGGAGAGCCTGGGCCACATAGTGAGTTCAAGGCCAGACTGAACTACATAGTTGGACCCTGTTTGAAAAAACCAAAAACAAAAAAAAGTACAAGCCAGACTGGCAAATTTTAATACAGTAAGGAAAGTTTGCTATTAAAATTTGGTATAGAATCAAATTAGAATATCTAATTTTAGGAAAAGTCTCTTGAAATGTTCTTTCCATCTTCTATGTATATAAAGCCAGATTTTTAAAATCTACCTCAGCCAATTCAATATATCACAACAGGTTGCTCATAGAAGCAGTTATGAGAATGTAACCATGTAACCCCCTCTTATTAAACCATATATTAAAAAGATTTGAAAAAATGTAAGACAGTGACACTTACTAAATTTCTAAGTACAATAATTTTTCATAAAGACGTGTTATTTATGTTAATCTGTAATGAGTTGTCTTTTAATTAATAAACATTTAAAAATTTTCTCCATTTTATATTTCTCATTCAGTGAATGTTGACAATATAACCCCTGTAAACAAAAGCTCTTCCTGGTCCTTATTAACATTTAAGAATAAGAGAAGGGGGGCTGGGGATTTAGCTCAGCGGCAAAGCGCCTGCCTGGCAAGCGCAAGGTC